AGGCAGTGGGAGACCCCCACGGACAAGCTCACTGCCTGCAAGTCCAGCCCAGGGACAGTGACCACACGGGTCCCTCTGGGCTGGGTCACAGGAACCAGCACCCCCCAGCCACACTCAGTGCCCCTCTGTCTCCCCATCTCTTGCAGCGACGAGGAGAAGAGCCGCCAGATGTGGAGGAGGTACCAGGAGAGGGAGGACAGCCGCATTGGTGGTGAGCAGGAGGGCTGTGGGGAGAGGAGGGCAGGGCAGGGCTGGGAGCGGGGCTGGGAACCAGGGATCTCACGCTGCTTTGTCCCATCCCCACCAGACCTCTTTGTTGGGCAGCTGAAGAGTTCGCTGACGTGCAGCGAATGCGGCTACTGCTCCACAGCCTTCGACCCCTTCTGGGACCTGTCCCTGCCCATCCCCAAGGTAAGGGGTCCCCAACAACCCCCAGCCCCTGTTCCCATACACCCTGTCCCTGACTTGTGCCGTGCTCCCACAGAAAGGCTACGGGGAGGTGACCCTGATGGACTGCCTACGGCTCTTCACCAAAGAGGACGTGCTGGACGGGGACGAGAAACCGGTACGGGGTGTGGGGCACGGTGACAGGTGGGCTTGCCTTGGTACAGGCTGGGCCCCTTGCTCTCCAGGCCTGTGTTCCCAGGACTGTGGGCTCTGTGCCTGGTGGGGCTGGCCTCTGCCCTCAGCATCCTGTAGTGATAGGACAAGGGGTAATGGGTACAAATTGAAATCAGGGAGGTTTAGATTAGATATCAGGAAGAAATTCTTCCCAGAGAGGGTGGGGAGGTACTGGGACAGGTTGCCCAGAGAAGCTGTGGATGCCCCATCCCTGGGAGTGTCCAAGGCCAGGCTGGATGAGGCTTGGAGCAACCTGGTCTAGTGGAAGGTGTCCCTGCCCATGGCAGGGGGGTTGGACTGGATGATCTTTAAGGTCCCTTCCAACCCAAACCATTCTATGAGTCTATGATTCTATGATCCTGCTCATGCTGTTCGCCTCCCACAGACGTGTTGTCGCTGCAAAGCCAGGACGAGGTGCACAAAGAAATTCAGCATCCAGAAGTTCCCCAAGATCCTGGTGCTTCGTATCCTTCAGGCAGAGGGATGGGGCCAGTGGGGTGCTGGTGGGGCAGTGGGCGGTTCTTCACAGGCTTCTCTTTGTCTCCTGGCTCCTTGACGTGCCCCCCCAGACCTGAAGCGTTTCTCAGAAGCCAGGATACGAACAAGCAAGCTCACCACCTTCGTCAACTTCCAGCTGAAGGACCTGGACCTCCGGGAGTTTGCCTCGCAGAGCTGCAGTGAGTGCCAGGGCCCCTAGGGCTCCAGCCCAGCCCCGGGCTCCTAGCTGCCCCCAGCTGGGTCCCTCACGCCCCCCAGGGTGCTGCAGCCTGCGGCGGG